GGAGTTTAGGGCTGTTGTACATAGGGTCGCTATGAATCACAAGCGACTCGACAGCACATAACAACAACAACAACATACTTTCTTCTCCCAAATCTTTCCCATCCCATCCAAATTTCTTTGCCCTAGGATTAATTCCTCTAGGCTTAACTCTGATTTTAAGTAAAGTGTGCTAACTACAAATTCATTATTGAAATGATGCCTCTTGTCTCTTGGAGTTGGTGCATTGGAAACAGCTAGAATACGAGAACTGAAAGGAATGGTTCACTAAATTTGTCATGGCATTTCAGACATATTTTATGTTTGAAGGATATGAAGAGTTTGATTTGAGACTAGATCGACCCTTTGTGTCCCCCAAACTACACCTTGAAGAAGACAAATGTCTACATATCATGCAATAGAAATGAGACCTATAACCACCTAGATATTATGTATTCTGTTGGTATCTGATTACTGTAATAGATTGCGTCCATCCCGCTAACATGGTCTCACATAATTGTTGGTAGACTAAGAACACCTCCAAGCCTTTTTTCTGTCCCCATACTGCTTATTAGCCAACTAAACACCTGGAGCAACAGCCTAGGACAAAAATGGTTCTGAGCTCACAGTCAGAGAGATGTAGAGGTAAATAGGGGCCCTGTCACTAGCTGTGTGATCATTTTGTTGTCAAGTGCTGTCAAGTCCATTCTGACTCATAGCAACCCTGTAAAACAGAGAACTTCCCCATAGGATTTCCAAGGCCATAATCTTTACATAAGCAGCTTGGCAGGTCTTTTCTCCTGAAAAATCACCAGGTGGGTTTGAACCCTCAATCTTTCAATTAGCAGCCAAGTGCTTTAAGCATTGCACCAGCAGCGTGCAATCCTTTAGCAAATTATTATTGATCCTTGGCTGGATCCTCAGCATTCTAATTTATAAAAGACAACACCTACATTGCATGGTTATTGTGAGGCTTGAATGAGATAATAAATGAAATCATGAATGTTTGCGTAGCACTTACTGTGTGCCAAGCTGCTCTGGTGATCCCATCCATAGGGCGTTGTGCTGCTAACCTAAGAAGGCACCTCTCTGCCGCTTTGAATCCACCAGTAGGTCCTCAGGAGAAATGTGAGCAATCTTCTCCCATGCAATTTACAGCCTCTGGAAATCCACTGGAAGGTCAGCTTTGAGTCAGAACAAGGTAGTGAGTTTTTAAAACTGTACTAAGAATCTTACCTGTATTAATGGCTCAGCTGACCTCACAATAATTATGGAAACCAGTACTATAAACATCATCCTTTTGAAAATGATAAAATTGATGCTTATACACTGTCTTTGAGTTGGTTCCAACTAAGCCTCCATTGAGTTTCTGATGCTATGAATCTTTATAGGAGGAGACATCCCTCTTATATCCCACAGAGCATCTGATGGATTAAAACTGCCAGCTGTTTAGTTAGCAGCCTGATGGGTCCCGCACTACACTATGAGAACTACTTAATGGTAGAAGAAAGATCCAAATCCAGACCTTGCTGATTCTTAACCTTTGTATAATAGCATATAGCCAATTCACAAATGGGAATGCTTACTATAATTGCTATGTTGTAGCTGTTTAGAAAGGAGTCCCAGTCAGCAGCATACAATAACAACAGCTGCTTAGAATCAAGCCTGGGGAAGACTTTCCTACCCATACACTCATTAAATAAATTGTAATTTATAAGAACATATAATCACTACAAAAAATAACATATATTCTAGTGTACTGGTGAGCATGAAGATACAAAGATACACTCCTCCTTTATGAGGAGGAATGTGGCATCAGGATTGGAGGAAGACTCATCAACAACCTGCTTTATGCAGATGACACAAGCTGCTTGCTGAAACTGAGAAGGACCTGAAGCGCTTGCTGCAGAAGGTCAAGGACTAGTCTTAAATATGGATTGAAATGCAAAATCAGTGAAGCTGTTGTATAAAAAAAAAAAAAAGAAATGCAAAATCAAGAAAACAAAGATTCTTACCACTGCATCAATTGATAGCATGGTAGATGGTGAAGAGACTGGAATTGTTAACAGCTTTAGTTTACTTGGCTCGACAATCAACACTCTTGGTATCAGCAGCCAGGAAATCAAAAGACGGATTGCATTGAGAAAGTCAGCTATCAGGGACCTCTCCAGAGTACTGAAAAGCGACAAGGTCCGTCTAGAGACTAAGATGTGCCTTATCCAGGTCATGGTCTTCGCAATTACTTGCTATGCATCAGAGAGCTGGACAACGACTAAGGATGACAGAAGAATCAAAGCCTTTGAGTTGTGGTGCTGGAGAAGCGTATTGAACATACCATAAACTGCCAAGAAAACAAATAGGTCTGTCTTTGAAAGGGTGAAACCAAGTTTCTCCTTGGAGGCTAGGATTTTGAAGCTCTGTCTCTCATACTTTGGGCACGTGGCCAGGAGGGACCAGTCCTTAGAGAAGGACGTCATGCTCGAAAGGGTGGAGGGATAGTGCAGGACAGGAAGACACTAAATGATATAGATTAATACAGTAAATGGGGTGCCGGCAGTTGGGCTGTTGGTTGTTTGGCCTCTGGATCTGTTGTGTTTCCTCGAGGAGTCGGGGCTGACCCACAAACCTTGCGCACTCAGATTCGAGCCAGAGCCAACGAGTCCGGGGGCATCGCCTGCAGTGGCCGAGATCATGGCCGGTTGAGCTGGATGCCGCCTCCGCCGCCTCCTGAGCCGCCGGCGGCCCGTGCCCAGCAGCCATGGCCAAAGACTACTGGGATGAGCGCCTGCGGCGAACAGGAGGAGAAGGAGGTCGTGC